CAGTGGGCCGAAATGTATGAGATACCAGTATTGCTACTTAGGAATGTGTTTATAATGACTAATTAGCCTAATTGAGTTATGAACACACTGAAAATGTGGCTAACAAGGTATGTTAATATCAATATGAAATATAATTTCAGAAAGGAAAATATGTGTCCTTCAATATCTTCTTCATTTGGGGGTGTTTTAAGTGGTTTTATTTGTATAGGATACTTGTGCCATGATTTATCTGAGTCATAGATAATAGAAATATAATATAGTTTATCCATTCAGAACATCTTTACATTCATAAGACATATTGTTCACAAAAAATAAAAATAAACATCATTAAGACAGTCTAAAAGACATGTAAAAGAATTTCTATACAGCACCAAAGTTGTCACATTTTATCAATATATTGTCTTTAGTGTTCTTTATAAATAAGAAGATAGGGACTAGGATGAGTTAGCAAGAATTAAAATATGTTAGCAAAAATGAGCATTTACTAAAACTAAGACATATCGCACAGCGTGGAGAGTCTTTCATGCAGATATTGAATACATTTTACAAAGTAAAGTACACTAGTGTATAATTTAGGCAGAAGAGGTTTGTTCTCTAGCATGCCATAGTTTAAACTGATATCATATACATATTAGAATCTCAAGTAAAAATAAGAAATTAACAGGTATTTTTCTGTGGAGTGCATGCTTACTATAGAGAATTGGGCAATGATACATTCTCTACTAGGAAAGTGACTTGAATTCTTCTGGGGGGTGCCTTTTTTCCTTTCTACGTGTGGAAGATGTTTTTCTTTTTATGCTTCTTGTATGACCAAGTTATCCTTTACTCAGCTGTAATCAGTCTTGTCAAAACATTAAAGGAGAAAGTAGAAAACTTTGGGTGTGTGCTTGTAGCTTGGAAAATACATTGGTGTCATGGTATAACCAAACTACCATTTGTCGGGATGATCAAAAGGCAATTTGGCCGAGTGTCTGGAAAAACATGACTCATATGTGTCCCAGTTTTCCCCCTTCTTCCCTGTGAGTATTAGCAAACGACAGTGATATGCATGCAGATTGCAATCTGATATAAATAAATAAATAAGTAAACAGTGCAGGGAGGTGTCAAAAAAGAATAGGCTCTTTGAAAGCCAAAAATGAGGTTACTTACTTAGATTGTAAAAGACAAGGAGGACGCAGCTGTAGGCAAGGCTCCAACAGCCCTCCTGGAAGATGGCAGCAATTTCCAGATCAAAGCCATGAGGATCCAAGTGGCAGCGGATGCCTCATTCCTAGGAAGAGATAACAGGAGGCTGACTTGGATGATAAATATATCGCTCACTTCACAATGCAAACAGATGGAGGTGGATGCTGGTAAACTTTATGTTTCTAAACTAACAGCAAGATGAGAACTTGGTAGAGAAGTTGTAACACCTGTGAGGATTACCCACAATGTCCTGGTTGCAATCTATACTGCTGCAACATCTGGGTCTCAGAGCCACAGCTTCTGATGAATTCCTATATATTAACAGGTTAGGTTCAAGTTTTTTACAGAAAAAGGACTAAGACATCCAAACATAAGCATTGGAATTCAAGTCTTGAGATAAAAGAATAAACAAAATGAGTTTAGGGATAGGAACTCAATGATAACTAATTTCATAAACTAGAAAGGGGATTTCAAAGGTAATTCTAAAAAACCCACATTCATTAAAACTAAGTAAAAGGACTTCTAGAAAGCCCATTGAATAACTTAAAACTTTCAAGATTTTAAATTTCAAAATCATCTTTAGTAAAATTTTAATTTCAGATGATTTTTTTACACCTTAGTACTGATTTTCTTAGTACCCCTCCTTACCTTCCACATTGACTACACCAAGTTGAAAATTCAGAATGAGCAGAACACTAAGGTATTTCTGTTTATAGTTTAGTATTCTTTATATTGCTGGCCACTACTGTGCAACATTGTCTCCTTCCCTTTATTAGTGGAGTTTAACCATCAAATACTGAACAAATCGGTTCAGGAAACAAAACACTGTACTAAATGTGTCTAGAATTAGAATCAGCTGTAGTCTGGTGACTGATTTTGGATATTTACAAAATGAACAAACAAACAAACAAACCAAAATTGACCTGAACTGTATCCTAGAAGTGAAAACAGTAAAAGAAAAAAAAAGAAAGACAGCCACTCATTTCCTGCTATGGATATCCATCCTGTTTCCAAGGCATGCATTCACCTTTGCTACCTCCACAAACCAGCATCTCAAGTTACTTATTGGTCCTTTTCAAAAGAGAATATTAGAATTGGAGACTTGAGCATCATAAAAAGTACTCATGAATCAAAATCATGTAGGCTTTTATCCTCAGAACCAATAATACTTGGGTCTAAATCATTGATACTAATTGGCCACTGTTGTGGATCCCTGCCTACACGTTAAGCCATTCACTAGGCAATCTTGGCAGAGCTTCATCTGCTAAATTAAAAGGACAATGAAGAACGGAACCCTCCTCCTGTACCACAGGCTCACCCGAGCTGCAGCAGAACCCAGCCCCGACACCCTTCCCTTACTTCCCTTTTACCTTTGGATCTTCCTAGAGCATTTAAGCAGCTAGCTTCTTCATAGACATTCCAGTTGGTCTGAAGGTCGTGTTCAAACAGCTCTTCTAAGGGTTTCTAGAATAAACATCTCAACACCAGTTTGGGCACTATTTGTTTTCACTATTTGGAGGGGCTTTTGTCTGATGGGAGGCATCATCTCAGTGTATGACATGGGAAGAAAAGATGCTGGTATGTAGATTTTTCTTGGAGTGACCATCTCTTTGGATTTCCCCCCACCTTTATCCAATTTTACATGGGCTTGTGGGCTTCCAAAGACTTTATTCCCTTTTTGCCCATTAGAAAGTTTAGGCAAACACCTCCCTTAGGCATTGTGAAAGCCTACCTGTCAAATTAAGATTAACAAACAGAACATTGGGAACTTCCCTTAGGGCTACTATGGGGTTTTGTTGACATTTTCAGCAAGAAACAACAGGAGGGGGCATTGTTAAAACAGTCTATGAAATTGCTCCATCAAGTCACTTGTCCTTCAAGACAGGGCCTTTGGCTTGAGCATCTGATAAAGTATATTAGCATAGCAAGATACCATCTTGCTTCTGACAGGGATTTCAGTGAAATTCAAGAGCATAAGGGATGTTCAATTAAAAAAAAAATTGGCTCTTGCTAATCGATAAACCAGAGCTTAACATTTCTGATGAAGAAAGGCCCATCCTAAACCTAATACTAGTAGTAATTTAGTAAGTTTATTCTGCTTGCGTTTTTCATGCACCCTTGTCCAGCCATGGGCTTCTATTTTGAAAGATGCTCTGGTTGAGGTTGTACATGTTCATTTGAATTTGTACTATCTCTCATTTGTGTGACATATGGAAATGAATTTATTGAGAACGATTGCAAATATCCACGGATTCTGTAAATATGTACCAATGAAAATGTAACAGCTATCTCAAATGTGTGTGGGACTTTATAAATTGGCACAAGAGCTAATCACATAACTAAAGCTGAGTAAAATAAAATTTCAGTCATCTGGACCCTTTTAGATTTCTACTCAGGAATTATCTTTGTAATAGAACAATCTTCTCATGGAAAAGATAGTCCTTGTGGAATGTGAGGCATGAGGGGCAGAGCAATAGGAGGCAGAACTAGCAATTGAATCTCCTCAGTGCTACCACCAACCTATGACTTACTTCATTATTTCTAAAATTATCATTCTGTTCTGGTTACTAAAAAATGCTGGTTTATAATATTATTACTGGCCAAAGCACTTGTGTTTACTCCATGGAAATCTGGAGTAAGTTACATTTTTCTTTCCTCATAAATGATGTCTTTTAGAAAAGGAAGAGACTCTGGCATGGAGGTACCTTAGATTAATTTTAAAGGTAAAGACAGGATTACATGACAATTATTCGAAGTATAGTTTTCATCCTTGAAAAAAAAGTGATACCTTGTTTTCTGCCACAGCAGACCCTACAAAGTGCTGGGGCACAGCGAATGACTAATATGGGGGCCCAGTGAGTTCATACACATCTGTGCTCCGGGACAGGACCGAGACACACACAATGACAATGACGAAGCCATTATTCACAGCTTAGTCTTCAGGGGCTGGAGGGATGGATTTGTGTACAGAAATCTCCACAGAAAGCTTTTATAACAAACCATTTCTGTCAGAAGTTTATTTTATTGGTAAAATATTAAATAATATACAGAATTAAAAACTGCACTTACACTTCTGAAAAGAAATAAATCTTGGACAAATTATATGCTTGTTCCTGAGATTGGCTAAGTTTATTCCAGTAGCTGTGCACTCAGACAGTACAAACGTTTATAATATTAACCCTTTCACAAAGAATTACAAAGGTTCTGCAGCTTCTTTAGTCGTACACACACACACACACACATTCACACATGCATATACACACTCACACATCATCTACACAGTACCCACGGACACGCACAGAGCGTGCACGTGTGTGCATTAGAAACAAAGAAAACACAAGTCCCACACTTGAGTCTGCAGTGATGAAACTGTTTAGTGGAGGTCTCCCAGTCGGTGTGCAGCAGAGGGACAGCCCACAGAGCTGCAGAGGCTGTGGCAGTGCTTCCACAGTAAACCCCATTTTCTGAGGTATTTGAGCCTTAAAAAACAAAAACAAAAACCCTACATTACACTGAGCAAACCTGACATACAAGGTCTGGAATTTTAATTTTACAGATATTTATAGATATATTTCTTTTTAAACAATAGTTTTTATTTCCCCAAATTATTAGTTGAAAAAAATGAGGTTTACTGGTTTGATTTTTCTTTCTTTTTTTCTTCTAAAAAAAAATCAAAGTATTCTAGAAACTGTCAAGCAATTAGTCCTTAAAATAGTCTAATTACCTTTGGTATTGTTAAAGAAAAGAAAGGTAAGTAGCCAAGACACATACTGTACAAATGCAGCAAATGCCTTAGAAAGAAATGCCAAAAAATGTTACTTTTTAACAAAACATGTATTTACATTACAGCAGTTTTACTACAGGAACACAGGTATTTAAAAAAAAGAAAAAAGAAGAGCACGCTACATATAAATATGGATGATACAAAAGATATTCCTCAATCTGCACGAAAACAGGTCTGCTTCAAATATTTAAAAATTTTTCTTCAACAGGTAATATGTATTTAAACCTGACCTAAGTGCTTTGATGTTTATTTTCCAAAAGGAAGAGAAATAAAAACATTAAATACTAGTTATTTAACTTAAGAGCATTATACAAGAATGGGAGAAAAAAAATCCAGTCTGTTAGGATTTCAGTTTCAGCGTATATTTCTCACTCATAATTTCAAAGGTTATTTAGGCTAAACGAAGCTTCCAGAAACTCAGAAAGTCATTTGTTTCTACGTTTTTAAATCTTTTGATAGTGGAGTGGTTTTCATCTTTGCTTGCTGTGTCCTTTGACATGTTAGAATTTCCAACGGTTTCTTTTTGCCAAAGAAGAAATGTCAGACAAAGAAAAATTACCATAGTTTTTAAGACTTCACGAGTGATATTGCACTTTTATGAAAAGAACGAATATCTGTTAAACTAAACAGAAGAAGCAAAGCCTTCTGAAACTGCAAATAACACCTGGTTTAAAAGGCTGGACTACTTGCGCAAGCCCGGGGCTTGGGAACCCCTTCCGAGCCTGGAATATTACCAAAGAACTGTTAAAGCACTTGTCCACCTAGTTGGAAGAAAGTTAACCCTTTGCTTTACATTTTTATTCCCATTCTAAGTGTAGGGAGGGGGGGTGTCTAGTCTTTTATGACTTGTATTTTAGAAGAAAGCCAAACAATTTAACAACCAAGCAGAAAGGAATCAGACAGACACTGATTACAGAACCTCTGGAGTCACACAGGGTGTCTCATACTTGAGGATGAATCAAAGGAAGGACTACAAAGCTTACTGTTTCAACCCAACCACGCTTTAAAAAATATACAACTACCCTTGAGTATAAAAATACACCAGCAGATTATACAGCTAAGAAATACTACTGAAAAAAATTAAGACTTAATGAATCAGAAGCTCAGAGTTGACCTCCTCTTCTATTAGGATCATCAGGAAAAACACCCGAGACAATGGAGGAACAGCTGTGAACCGTGGAGACAAAGATGTGAGAACTTACAACCGAAGAGGTGAAAACCTATCTTTGTCATACGAAAGGGCACGCAATTGATGCACAAATTCTCAAGTGCTCCACAGTCAAACTTTTCTTTAGATCACAGTTTTGTAATTTGAACAACTTTTTAAAAAGAACAAAACAACAAAAATATCAGCAACCCCTAGATTCTTTTTCTCGTTAGTTACAGTGTATTCTTTTTAAAATCCACTTCCAGTAAATGAAACTCAGTGACATCCTAGCATTTGCATAGCAGGGGATTTGGTGACCTCCATCTGCCCAAGCTTTCCTTACTATGTGTTACATGAGGTAAACGGAAGGCCTGATGTACTGCAAACTGGCTTATTTGTACCTATAGGAAGTGTTTACTCTGTACTTAACATGGCTTTTAGCACATGACCTCTAAATTTTCATATTAATTCATAATATAAAAGTCATCTTAGGAAACTAGATGTTCATGTACCACAGTCTATATGGGATAAAGATGAATTTATAACAAACATGTCAGAACATATACAAATGGAGTATTATGGGAGAAAGGCGCCATAAATAGAATTTAAAACTCATCTCTAAGTGCATATGAAAAAATATCCACAAACTCACAGTACAGCAAGAGAAAACAAAATAGAAATAGAATGTTACATAAAACTTTTGTGGAAATTCCAAAAATTTAGGTCTCTATAATAAATATAAAAATGTTCATGGTGTCATTAATTTGGAGTAAGAGTACACCATGACACAAGGAAACACTAGCATAGTACAGCTTCTTGGTCACACGATGTCTACGTTATACAACCAGCAGCTCAGTTTCAGAAAGCTTTCATAGTTTAAGACACCCTCACAAGTGACAGACAGCCCTGTCCTAACATCCGAGATGGTGCTTTGGAGAACAGCTATGTCACATGAATGCTGAGTGTTTTGTTCAAGGAGAAACGAGGACCTGCATTTCCACATTATTTCATAAACCAAGCACTGGCTAGAAGATAGAGGATCCAAGACTAGAACAACACTAGTCGGGTAAAAAAAGATGCAAAACAATACTGTCGTAATTGACCTCAAATTCTACGAGAAAACCTTGTGTGATGCAAAACATATTCTACCTCAAGAATAATGCAAAAACACACAGAACAATTCAATTCGCTGCTAACTTGTGACTCTGCCTTCTATTTTTCCTCTATCATATAATAGTGTTCAGATATACTATCAAACTAAAAAGATTAAAATCTGATTTCAAAGTTTCCTCTCACTTTTGCCAGCTCAACTGAAAGTTTGGAAATGGAAATTCTTTTAGCAGGGTTTTCTCTTTTTTCTTTTCTTTTTTTCTTTTCTTTTCTTGTTCTTGTTCTTCTTCTTCTTTTTTTTTTTTGCTAAGAACACAAAGGTAAATTAGAGAGTACTTAAATTTTATGTGATTTTTTTTTTTAAAAAATACACAGTAAAAGTGTGGTAGAGCTAAAACAGCTTACCAACACTCCCAATGCATTTTTAAAAGGCACCAATATAAAATTTTATAAGTATTTAATACATTAAATTCAGGATTTAAGAGACCAGTTACTGTATATTTTAATTATTTTGCAGAAACTGGAAGACTAAAATATTTATAAAATAACTTTTATATATACAAAGTTTAAATTTACCCCTTGCTTTTTTTCCCTTTTGAATATGGGGAGTTTTAACTGTAGAATACATACAGGCAGTACTTGTTAAAAATAACATGTGAAATATAAGTGACGATGACCACAAATCTACAATTTTATAATAAACAAATAATTCAAGGCTAAGAAAAATGTGTAGCCAGGTATCCTTGATAGTCCAAGCGCTGTCCTGCATCTAGGAGCAGGCAGCTTTCCTGGTCCAGCACAGCCTCCTCTGCTTAGCTTTCCACTATAACTTACCCTTTTGGAGATAAGATGAAGTAAGACTTGGAAAATACAAAGTCAAAATTTAGACTACCCAAAAGTCGGGGTCTTGTGAAGTGTGGAATTGTGTCATGGTAATCAGCACAAATACAAGACCAAGTTGCTAAATCATTTCCTGCATTTTCTTCCTCTCATAAAAAGAATACATAGTTCTTTAAATTTCCACCAGTCAACTTAATATCTTTTCATTGTTTCACTTTTTTTCCCCTGGATGTAGAAAATGGAGACTTGGGATCTAAGTTGCCGCTAGCCCTAAAGACACACGGACAACATTGGGATTTCTTAATACCACCTGGTAAAGCAGACCTAAGTGCTGATGGATCAGCTGTACTTCTAACTCTAAGCTTCATAACACATCTGGAGATGCTAACCGTCTCTTTTCAGGACTCTTCAATACGAGAATGTGCGATACACATGTGCCTGCAAATGTCGTGCCTTCAGTCACCTGTGTGTATGCCAGCCAGCCAGGTTACTTCATCCTAAACCTCAACGGTCAACCCTCATTTCCCCGTTCTCTTCAGAAATTTCTCAACGGAATGTTTGAATGGCAGTGTTCCCGCCTCTCCCTGGGGCTCACCATGCTGGCCACTGCTCTAGAGAGCCTCTATAGCAGCCATTCATCACTATTGCAGAGGGGCAACATGCTTCTCCAGAAAGAACTGGTGATAAAAAAAAATTCTGGGCAAGATTAGGACAGTCATCTGATAAATTTCTGCCCAACTGGAAAACACAGATGATAACCCACTTTCACGCCCCTCAAATACTCTTTGAATTGTGAAATCTTGCTTAAATAAACTGGGCTTGTAACTGCTCTGCAAAGTTGATGTATTTGGTATCTGACCCCCTCACTTATTTTTAGGCGCTACCATGTCACCTGTTCTCTTTGGTGGAAACGTCATTGAGAGTCCCTCAGACAGCATTATGTCCACAAAATTCACTATGACATACAGTTATGAGATCACCTTTTCCTCATTTGTCCCTGTCATGCCTCAGCCATCTATGCCTTTTCCTGTACCTTGTGTTATGCATCTTTTAAAAAAAACTGCTAGTGTATCTGCATAGCAAACATCCTGTCATAGCTAATTTCTTTGAATAAATCAGGTTTTCCAACAAGATAAAATTAGAAAGGTAGAGAGTATGTTAGTGCCATCTTCATAGGGGGGGGTCCACAAATCTTTATGTACGCTTAAATTCAGCTCAGTCCTAGGGCAAGGAGATGCATGGTTCTTAATACAGTAGGTATGAGGAGAGAAAATGAAGAAAATTGATAAAGGATGCCAGCAGAAATTCACACAGCCAAAATTATGAACACTTGGACAGGCATCCAAAAGCTTTGTTAAATTGCAATAAAAACAAAAACTCATGAGCCTTATCATTATTTACCTCCCTCCCACAGAAATGTCATTTCCATCATAATTCGTGAGAATTATGGGAAAGGGAGTCTTGAGAAGACCCTTTGTCCCTGAGTAAGCTGTGTTTTCACAAGTTACCAAGGGATGACAACAAAAGATGAAAAACCCAACATCCGGCATTAGCTCCATCTCTGTTTGGGTGTGTTCTCTTACATGTAAAGGAATCCTCTGGACATTTCTCCAGAAATAACCAAGATAGGGCTAGTTAAAGAGCTCAGTCAGAACCTTCCCACCTAGGCCTAGCTATGTTAGAGCTAAGGTGGCTCAAGAGAACGGATGAGAACACGGCTCATTGGTGCCTTGTTCTCCAGTCTCGATACTACCCAAGGCGCAACGCAGTTGCAAGGTTTCTGCACCCTATTCAAGGGTCTGCCGGAGCAATTATTACTGTGTATCGGACCTTCCCCGTTCATAAATGACTATCAGATAATCCAGTCATAGTCAGACTGTTTTCCTCAAACACAAGCAGTGAGTTATGTCTGCCAAATGCATTCCCCCAAATGACTTGGGATAGTGCGCTCCAATCCCACCCACAAATGCCAGTGAACTCCAGAGAAAAAGCCAGGCCCTCACAGAGATCAACTTAAAACCTACACGTATGGAAGGATAGGCCTTGTGCAAATAAAGAGAAGACAGAGAATCTACTAAGGGATTGAGATTAATTTCTGACAAGGATTTAGAGAGTTGGATTTCTAATTTGTTTTTTAAAGTGCAGGACTTTCACCTGAAGACTGTCACATTCTCAACTCCAAGAAGGGTAAAAGAAAACTTTGTTGTTCTTTTGTTTGACCTGCGGTGTGATATTCGGGTTACAAAGAAGTTCCCTTTTGTCCACAGCAAAGGCAGTAATTGTTATTACTGAAGAAATGGTGGAATAAAGAGCCCTAGCTCATAAATGACCTTCCAGTGTTCAAATGACCACATTCAGGTCCAATTAGCAGTTGCTCCAAGATTTTGAAAGAAGGAGCCAGGCTTCTTAAGACCTTCTATTCCAAGAGTCAGAGAGGAACGGACTACTAACGGAACACTGAGTGGTCACAGCTTGAAGAAAAATACCAGGCGAGGGTTCTCAGAGTGGGATTTCCCCTATTGTCAGCCTAATTACACTTTTCTGCTGACCAGTTAACACTGATGAGATGTGGAGAAAGTGACAGTCGTAACACATCTTTAGAAACAAAAACGGATATTAGGCTGCTGTCACATTACAATTTAAAAGAAAATCCCAAATTGAGAAAAACAGAAATCTTCCTGGAAACTGCTGACTGCCTCCTACCCACGCTCGGACCGACCATATGTTATTCTGAAAACTACAAAAAAATACTATTTGTTACAGGTGTTTAAAGTAAGGCTGCCAGGGTGTCTATAAAATGCCAGTCATCAAAACTATGGAAAAACAGTGCGCAAGTTTAGAAAAATAAGATCAAAGGACCTCAGGTGTATCTCAGTGGCCCCTAACGACCTGTAGTTTAAAAGTTTTACTATATGATACAGTGTAATACATACTGAATTATAAATTCCGTAGGGGAGGTAAACACAGAACCCACAACAATTCAACTCGTCCTAGGAGTTATTGGAAAAAACAATGTGTTTGTGTTCCATCATCTCTTCGAACAGAAAATAAAACGGGCTTACATTTAGAAACATCTTGGAGAGTAAAATTACCTAGAGCATTTCAAATTGCCAGAGTCCTATCCAGAAAACTCTCAATTTCCCTACCTTCCATCATGATCCTGAACATCAAGGGCAAACCAAAATATTTTAGGTGAATCTCTATGAACCAAAGGATTTCCCAAAGTAGGACAGGCCTTAATCTGGACGCACCCACAAAATAAACAAGCCAGGTTACCAGTGAGCATCCCATCCCTTTCCTCAGGTTTCTTTCTTACTATAATCAGGCAGAGCAAATGACATTTTGTCCACAAAATAAGAATCAAGGACAGTGACAGTATTTAAGGAGAAAGAAGGTCACCCTCAGAGGGAAGGTGGGCTGTAAGTGCAGTATCTCTTCAGGTGCAGTTCTTCATGGGGGTCCCCTTTGGAATGAAAAGGCCTAGTGGAATGTGTGCTCCCCTCGAACAATGTGTGATGAAAACTCATAACGGTCCTGGCTTCTGTAGCCACAGATGTTGCATTCCAGTGGGTCCCGGTAGCCATGGCAACCCATGTGAATGGTGTACATGACATGGTCTAGGAAAAGGACTCGGCAGTGCTCACACTTGAAGGCCCTTATCTGTTCTCCTTCTCCATTGAAAACCTTATAGATGTCCTTCAGAGAGCCCTTGGTGGCCTTGGTAGCATCCAAGGCCTTGACATCCTCCTTCATGTAAGGTGGGCTTTGCTTCCTCTTGGGGTTTAAGGCAGGGTTTCCTTGGTAGGACTGGTGGTCATCATGGCTGCTTTCTGAGTCAGTAGAATCGAGGCAGCTATTGCTGGGAGAGGCCTCTCTTTCCTGGGGTCGACTCTTTGGTCTGATGAGAGAGATGGGGCCATCCATGTTGTTTTCGTGACTGTCAGACGTCTCCCTGCTAACGGGTCTTTCTATCCTGCTTGGATGATAGACCTGAGAATAAGCTGAGCTTAGAACCGGGGCCACCTCGGCGATTGTGCTTGGTGCATGCTGCATCAGAGGGTGAAGGGCCTCAGCTCCAAGGTAGGTGATTGCATTGTTGATGGCTTGGTCCATCATGTGAGACTGCATCAGCTCAGCCTCCTTCTCATACGTTAAGTTCATATCAAAATGAATATCTGGGTAGCTGAACCGCATCAGCTTTTCCCCTAAAATTAAAAAAAAAAATCGGGAAGAGAAAAGAAAAGGAGAAAACACAACAAAATTAGTGGTTGAATTAAAAACGTAAAAAGGCACAAGTTAACTAAATACTTGGTCCGTTTTACACAGGTCAAGCGTTTGGGCATTTTTCGTTCTGTCGAGATGCACAGGTAATATGACCATGCTAAGGAAATTGGTAACGAGCCATTTGCACTTGCTCTAATGCCGTCCCGGAAATGCCCAGCCTGACAGCTTTTTACTTAAATTTTAACTTTTATTAAAATTTCATTTGCACGACACTCAAGATTTTAGGAGAAAGAATAAATTCCAGGTCAAAATGAATCAGAGACTGTGCTCATTTCTGCATATCTCAAACACAGGAATGAACTACAAAGCCCAGGAGAGCAGAAGGGATGTGGTCATAGACTGTGCTGTTTTACTCGAATAGGAATAATTTGGCTGATTTAACTACTACTTTAGAAGAGAAAAGCTATCGAGTTAATATACATCAGTCAGTAGAAAGCAAACAATCATTATTAAGTGATTTAAAAGCTGATAAAATAAATGTAATTAAAATGTATTAAGAATTGTTTCTAAAAACACTTGTTCACAAAGCTGAAAAGTATTTAAGTTTTGCTTTTTGGGATTGGTGACTTTTCAAAATCCTTTTCTTGTTTGAAGTATATTGTTTCTCCTTTAATATTTACTCTCTTTCTCTGTCTTGTTCATTTGTTTTTCAAGACAGAGTTTCTCTGTAGCTTTGGAGTCTGTCCTGGAACTAGCTCTTGTAGACCAGGCTAACCGGGAACTCACAGAGATTCACCTGCCTCTGCCTCCCGAGTGCTGGGATTCGAGGTGTGCGCCACCACCTCACTCAACAAGAGGATTCAGAAAGATGCTGTCGTGAGAGGCCTGGCCTAGAGCAGTGATGGGACAAATGGAGAAAGGTTGATGGAACGGGCAGTGCCTTTGCACGTACTGCTGCTAGCTAGGCCTTTGCGATCCTCTAGGCAGAGATAATGAGAAGCAGGAAGCATGAAGGTGAGTGGTGAGTTTTCAGTCTTGGGAAACGGAGTGGGTGATAGCAAGATAGAAAGGGGGATAGCTTCGGTTTGACGATCAAGATGAAGAGCAGGTACATCTGGTGAGTACTCAGAAGAAGTATCTGGGTGGGAGATACAAACGCGACAGCCTCGGTTGGTAGAAGGCAGCTCTAGGAGCGTGAGAGTTGATAGCATCGCTCAGATGTGGGCAAACTGAAGAAAAGGTCAAGAAGAGTGCTGGGGAAATTCTTTTGTGTCAACAGTCAGAGCCACGCTGGATTCTCACACTTTGCAGTGTATCTAGAAGGGCCCTGGCCCCGTTTCTCATGGGACGAGGATTTCATAAGGCCAGAGAATGAAAGCTTCACTCTTCACTGTATAAGGACCCCAAAATCCTCCAACAACAGCGTCTGGGTGAGTTTCTAGGGTCTGTACGTCCTATGCACCAGCAGTGTTATGGAAAGCATGTGCCTAGGCCGATCCCTAAAAACATCTGATTTTCTACATGTTATCTGTGTGGTTCCATAGGGAAAGAACTTGTATGTACAGATAGGGGCACCTATGTGTATGTGCGTGTGTGCATGCGTGTATGTGTGTGTGGTTTTGAAAATGAAAAGAACCAAGAATGGGTCTTCCATGGGGCAATTATGTACTCAGTCCCGAGTCTAGTGGGGACTCTTTAGAATTCTATACATGTGGACAGTTCAGTGAGGAAGAACAGAGAATCTGGAAGAAAAGGAGAAAGACAAATGTTCTAGAATCCAAGGGAAGAGTGTTTTTCAGATGGGTTTAAGATTTCAACAGTGGCAGGCGCTCTTAGGATGTGTGTGTCGGACACTGCCTCCATGGGACTCATTGTATTCAGAATCATGCAAATGGGTTGCAGCCTTTAAGAGAATACTTTCAGGGAAGCCTAGGCAAGAAAGCCAGGTTGCATGCTCCGGAAAAGGAATGGAAAGAAGGAAAGCATGGGAAGGAGGCACTAAGAATTCCATCTTTGAAGAGGAGAAAGCAGATGGAGACTTGGGCTGAAATTAACAGAATTGCCCTTGAAGTCCAGATAGCAAAATGAGAAAGATGGAAACAAAATGAGGATAGGACAGAGAACTCAGGAGCTCAAAACCCAGGAATTAACGTCAATCAGAAAAAGGGATGCTGCTTTCACTAAAAGAGGCCAAAGACATGAGGTATTTACATGGATGTCCACAAACCTAGAGCACTGGTGATGGCATAATGCAATCATCTCATTTGCTCCCTGTGACTATAGACATAAGACCTTCAAGGACAGACATATGAAGTGTGTAGACAGTAGAGACATGTGGGAAATGGCCATGTGGGAGTCGGAGAGAAGACTATTCAGGATATGTTGAAAGAATGTCATTACATCCTTTGGGTGGCCAATCTGGTATTTCAGATCAATTGCACATTTACCTATAGTGGCAGTCATTCACAGGAATTTTGCCAGAAATACTTACTGGCAGCTGAGACAGAGTGTGGAAAAGATACTGTGCTCAACTCATGAGACAGTGAGATGTCCCCAGGAGGAAGGAGTAGGACATGGCAAGAGAGTCAAAAATACTGGCAGGCCGTGGTAAAAGGAATGAAGTGTGAATCTCAGCTGTGTAAAGTAGGGTAGAAGAGACAGACAGACAGAAGGTCAGGAATCACTGCCTGGAGAATGCAGCAGGTCAGACAGCAGTGTTTAACTGAGGAGCATGAGAAAAGGGTTCGTGCTAAGTTTAAATGATGAAAATTTCCATTTTAAGAGCAGTCAAATAGAGAGTTACTCAATTGATGAAGCTATTGTTTCAGCATATTACCAGAATATATTCCAAATTAAAAAAAAAAACAAAAAATCAAGTTTAAATAAAAATATAATGTTATTTTAAAATCATATTGTGGTTTTATAAAATCCTCTCTTTTAAGGAATTCCAACATTTGGAAGGGAGAAGCAGATGGATCTCTGAGTTCAAGGCCAGCCTGCTCTACACACAAGTTCCAGGCATCAAGGGCTAAAAATACATCCTGTCTCAAAAAAAAAAACAAAACAACAACAACAACAAAAAAAAAAAAAAAAAAAAGAAAGAAAAGCAAAGCAAACAAACAAAAGGTAGCATTTCGGAGTCAAAGGCTATACAAACTGTGACAAAAAGTTGGCTAAATAACCAGAAGTTAGAAATAATAATAGCTTGATCTTTCCAACTACATCAGTAGTCGGTTAGATACGAATATCCCTCACAAAGGAATCTCTTTCTAAACTAAATGAAGAGTTTGACATGGTGTCTCCTGCTTGCAACGGTAGCATGCAGTGAGCAGAGCAGGAGGATTGCTGTGGATGAGAGTGCAGCCAGATGAGACACAGTCTAAAAAACACAAGAGAAAAAGTGCCTAAATAGAGCCTAAATCAAACAAAAGATAAAATAAGGAAGTGAACTCCACCTCTCGTCCATTCATAGATACCTTTAGAGGGGAACGGATGAAAAGCTGTACTCAGTACAATTTAGAGTCTCTTACTCTGCTCTCCGGTGTTATAAGGTGAGAATCTTTTTTACTAGTTTTACCTCTATTTTAAAACCATATCACTATAAGAAGATTTTACATGTCCACTAATAATAGTATAGTTCTTTGATAACGCTTCCCACTGAAACTCTATCATCTATACATTCTTTAAAAAAATGCAAGGCTCTCTTCCTAAAAGGTGACCCCCAAAATACAGCATAGAAAAAGACAGATGCCAACACTGGGAACACCAGGGAATATCGAAAGACTTGGAAATGAATAATAATATCCACATAAATATATGATTTTTCATCTTTTCAGCTCAAAAATCAAAGGCTGGATTAAAAATAAGGATCAAAACACATCCCTGTTTTAGATGGACACTGCTACATTAACTTTTGATGGCAAAGTTTGGAAACACCTAAAATGCCTTTGAATTCTAGATCAAATATTCAGAGACTTAACATTAGAAATTAAAATAGTCAAAAAAGCTGACAGTAATAGAAATGGAAAGATACCGCAAATGTGGCCAGTAGTGTAGATCCCATCTCTTACTCAGTATCAATTAAATTGACGTTAGCTTTAACACATGATTTCACTGTACATATCACTGCATGCTGAGATGGTGCTTACTACCTAGCAGTCATCCTTTAATACTTTCCCATAGGCCTAAGGCTGTGCACACACACGTGTGCGTGCACACCGCACACGGTAGGTCACAGAGCGGGAGAGAAGGATGTAGCAAAGACATGTTTGTTCTCACATCATGGAACACACCACTCATGTCTAATGCATGGAACTGTCTTGTTCCATCGCAGTCCCCAGATACAGAGTCAAATCATCCGTCTGTGCGCTTACCCACAAACTTCTGTGGAGTGGAGCTTTTGCGCTTCCCCATATTTGCCGTGAGCTTCTCTATGACAGCAGGTCTCTCAAAAGGCACCAGAGAAATATTGTTGTCCATAATAGGCTCTTGTTCCTTACAATCTTCCATGGGCGGTACTACATAAAACCAAATAAGAAGGCAATCTGGTGACTTCTTCAACATTTGAGAGACACAGATATGTATGCTATCCTGATATGTGTTATATAAGATAACTTTGTCTACTCAGATAAAAGGAAATGAAAAAACACAGTATTAAAGAATATTGTTTAATATCACACACACACACAGAGTTTATTTTTATGAATCCCTCTCAGGTCAGCGGCACAAACTGTTACCACTGCTGGTGACCAACATGTTCATCTGATTCTTTTTCCTCATTTTATTCCCCTGAAGTATGTGTAGTGTAGATTAAAGTTGGTATTCTTTAGACTGCACTATTACCAAGACTTTGACTTTACTTTTCTAAAATAATTTACATCTGTCTCCCTGTTTTGGAGGAAGGCTCAGCAGCAGTTGGGTATTGATGACTCTTCCCCTACGTACTTTCCTGCAGCCAGCCTTCTATTTGATGAGGCCTCAGCCTTCCTGGCAGCATCACCACCTGCACAGGGTCCCTCACGCAGGGGGTCTGGTTCTGTGCTTATCTGTGCAGAGTTAACTGTAGGAGCTTTCAGGCTGTGGTTCATCTCTAAAAACAGCTCTCGAGGAGGAGGAGGAAGGAACCCATTTCCAACCTGGCTCTCTGGCTCTTGGAACTGCTGCCCTAACTCCTTTGATGGCTCCACTCACCGTGCTGGTCTCGGCTGCTGCTGGCCTCAGTATGGACATTGTTAGGGTAGACAAGGGACTCAAAAAAGTTGCTTTTCAGTAAGAATCTTGTCCAGGATATTTAGCTAAGAAGAGGGCAACATTCCACACAAATCAGATGGGGTGATCAACACTAGTGCTCAGAGGAAGGACCAGAAGGTTTTTACACCTCCTGGGTGCTCTTTCCTCATTCAGCATCCACTGTTGAGTGATTCACCCAGGTCCTTTTATTTGCAGAGGACAGACCTACTGCATGAAACCCAGTGCGCTCTAGTCACCAAGGGGGGAATCCCGCTGATGGACAGCAAAAATTTTAAAGCAAAGCTGGAATGAAAACACATGTCACACGACTTATTGATTATTAATACATGTTGCCGATCTTAAATGAAAGAGATCACCAAGAAGCCATTCTTTATTCGGCCATTTTTAAAATATCAACAGTGAATGTCTGGATAACCTAGTGGCTCAACCAGGAGAAGTTAAACTTTAATCTACATTTAAGAAGACACCCTCTGGCTCTGAGTAAGAAGGAATTCTCTAGCCGTTGGATGTCAGCCAGCATGGGAAAGAAAGGCAAGGTGAGAATGAGAAATATGGGCATTAAGCACGGATACTGTTTATGATATTATCGAGAGAAAAATTTCTCCCAAAGGATTACATAAGATATTATGTGATCTTTTAACAACTATAAATAACTTGGAAGAAAAATCAAAATTTTTTAAGCAAAAGGGTTAAGAAAAAACAATACCAAGTTGATCACAGACCTCAACTAAGAGAGCCAGGAGGCGGGAGGCTGAAGTAATGACCTTGGCATGGCAAGGAAAGAGGCGGTGGGATGAAGATTATGACCTTGTGTTTTCAGTAGTAAATTCATAAGCACTTACTACCGTAATAAAATAATGACATGCTGGGCATGGCGGCTCATGACTGTAACCCCAGTTCATAGGAAGCTCAGGCAGGAGAAGTGCCATAAGTTGGATGTTAGCCTGGGACAGGTACCAGGAGTCTGTTCCAAAAACAAAAACAACCTACCAAACTACAAAGTAGTCCACGTGTGAACCAAAGAACATACATATCACGGGCCTAAACACAAAACGAAAAATATTGGCAGGCAAAAAATTGTTGTAAAATTTGCCCCAAAGGCAGTAAAACTAGTCGATGGGGTTTGCCCTGCAAGTTGAATATGCTAATTGGTTCTGAAATGAGTAGTCTAAATAGTGGCAGTTTTGCTTTAGGTTTTACACTGAATTTTCATATTTGCACACACCTAACACTCAAAATGAAACCTGGGTGGGGACTGTCCCACACCACATCCACCTCAGTTCAGATGACTTGTCTCAAGTTCAATGAAGCTCATGCGAACTGAAAACAATGACTAGAACAGAGCTTGTTCTATTCTCTATTTCACAACAGCTCCTCATGCCAAAAGACGAACTTTCTGCCTCCCTGGCTGTGATACTGATGGACAGAAACTTGGTAGTAAGCACTACTTCAAGGCTTTACATTTAACAGTCTGCACAACACTCAGGAAGCAGGTGCTCTTCATTTTACAGGCAGGGAATCGACGACGCCACGATTGGAGGCAATATTTGCTGTGCATCACTATCAGGTCAGAATGCTAATCCTGAGAGCTTTTGCTTTAGAGAATGCCTGGACTGTGCTATAATATTTTTGCAGACATATTTTGAATACTGCCATCACATATAACATCTCGACAGCCTTGTAAATTCATTGGGGAAAAGACCTGACACTTTTTTCCTTAATTATATAATCTGAGATTTTGCTTTCATAAATGTGGTGCAACTTAACATATTGTTTCTGGATCTATACTATTTAGAATTCAAAACAAATTTTCTAGGTAGTTCATGTCTCAATTGTATTAATTACATGATAAGAGATTTATCTAGACCAAAGGTGTGTGTATGTATATATATACACACACACATACATTTGATATACATATGATTATAGCTTCATTTGTTGGAGCAAATTCCATAACTCAGCATCTTCATCTTTTTTATTTTATTTGAAGTAATATGGAGGATAAAAGTGTATTTAACTTTTCATATCATATTTCATCACACGAATAAACCAAAATGTAGATCAATAAGAGTATTCCCAACACTGCTTCTTTTTATCAAAAATACTTCAAATTTCAAATTCTAAGAAAACTTCATTTTCTTTCCATTCAACTGATATTTATAAGAGCATTTAATTCTCTTCCTAAATATGCCTTCAGTACTCTGCCCTACTTCCTTGTCTTGACACTGTCTTTGCCTCCTTTCATTGGATCACTGGAACCAGTCTGCTCATACTTTCCGATGACCCAGGGAGACATCAAACCTTTCTCCACACGGATGATGCTTCCCTTTGGTGGACACTGATTTTAATCACTCCGTGGCTTCTTATTGATTAAACCATGACATTCACAGGCTGGCGCAGCATACAGTGCTTTTGCCTCCCAACCTGTTACTTCAGCCTTGCTTTCTGTTGCTCTTTGAATTAACTTGAATTATCTGCTAATTTCTTTTGATGTGCCTACACACCTCTTCTCTGCATGGGACATACAGTCTGTCAGCTGTCAGATATATGGACTTTGTCTCTCTTCTCATTCTCAGATCTGATGCTATGCAAAGTTTGAAGCTTTCCTCAACTTCTCCATCAGCAAAGGGCTGTGGCCTTGGAGAACTTCACAGACATCATTACTATAGCGTTCACTTCAGCTCATTTGGTTATTTTTAACCTGGATTGTTCATTAATTAATAAAGGTATATAAAACGCAAACTTTTATCTTTCTACTTCCAGGATGCTCCATAGCAGGTCTTTGAGAGTCTTTTATGGATGAAGTGGAAGAATATCACTTTTTCTTCAGACCCTTCTTCTCATGAAAAGCCAGTTTTGGAAAAGGGAGGCTAAGAAACTTAACTATGTCAGACATGGAGTTGAGGCCAGCCATACTGATAAAAATGTCCATTCATACAACTAACAGAAAGGGGGAAAGAGGTAAGAGGACAGAAGAGAAAGAAAGAGTAATAGGAATTTCTGAGATGTAAGGCAAGCTATGCATATGAGACAATTAACAACTGTAATGGCATCCCCCCTTTGCTTCCTTACATGCTCAATACAGTTCCCTACTAAATATCTTCATGGAAGGAAAAGGAGACTTACAATGCTCTCAGAATATTACTATGAATCCAGAAAAGCACAGCCATGAAATGGTGTTAACCATGCAGTGGGTGTGGTTGATGCATTATCTAATAATTAAGAACGAAGGTTACAGCCTGAACATCAAAACCTGTCATCATTTTCCTCCTCCCTGGCCTGGGCCTGCTGTCCCCAGCGTCTTGCCTTCTCTTTCAATCTCATTCCTACTGCGTTTTAGGTTCATCACCAGAGCCTACGCTGGAGAAGGACTAAAAACCTGGGAAATGGGACAGTACCAAAGCCCCAATTACTTAGAAGCCACATAGCTTTCTCTCCGGAATATATGATACGCATTCTGAGAGAGGTCCATATACATATAATTCTCTGAAATGAGATAAAGTTATGAAAAGCTCTGGCTTTTATCTCTGTAGACATGTAATTCACAAGTCTGTAAATGAATGGATAGAAGTAAATTAACAGAATTTGCATATGCCCTCTAACCAAAGTCTGGAATTGCAATGGGGGACTATCACATGGAGAAACCAATGAGGACATTAAGGAGCATCTTTGGAGAGCTTCTGCATGCAGCTGAACCTGCTTCAGCCCTCTGTCTCCAGTCAGCCCCCAAACCAACCATTTAAAACGGCTGTTCTCAACCTCAAACAAACCTCTCAAAAAATACTAACATTATGATTCATAAGAGCAGCAAAATCACACTCATGAGGTAGTAACAAAAATAATGTTATGGTTGGGGGTCAGCACAACATGAGAACTGTATTAAAGGGCTGCAACATTAGGAAGGTTGGAAGCCATTGATTTAGAACAAACCTATGATCCGGGTAGGCAAATGCAAACCCCAATGTTAAATGGTGAAAACATTAAAAAGAATGGCCTATTTACTGGCTCTTAGTATTAATGCTGTAAAATCTAATAGCAAAATAATCAATTAAGACACTTATCATATAACCTATCACATGTAATTCTCACAACATACCTATGACCCACATATTCAAAGACCAGATAGTCAAACCAGATTCCTCGGGTCCAACGTCCACAACTGTACAGCCTTCACGCTCTGGGTCCTATGCTACCTCACTCATCCGTTTAGTTGACAGAATCAGTTCTTTATGTAAGGACTCAAACTAAGGTAAATAACTAAAATATTTAAAACTGTGAAAAAAAAATTAAAACTCACAAAATCACGTCCACAGTATATTATGTATATAGAAAGCAAACTAAAAAATTGATAAACAATCTTTGATTGTCTATATCTAAATCAATTAATATTTATATATTTTAAAGTGACTGGGGGTAATTATACCATCTAGTATTAGTCAATTCTTTTAAAATATAAAACACAAATATACCAATAAGATATAAGGGCTTTTGTTTTTATTAGTATGAAATCACTTGGTATAAGTAGATAGGAGAGACACTAAGAATTTAAAGGTCACCTTTGTAAGAAGACTGATTTGCTGAACGAACTAACTTCACTGTGGCTGTCACAGCACTGGACCACCTTCCACACTACTAGGATGTTTTCCTGACAGAATGTGTTTTAGGAGGAAGGAGAAGGGTCAAATTTTGGTCTAGGTTATCTCTTGCATGTGTATAAAGTAAAACTACCAATTCCCCGAATAAATTATTAGGCACAATATCAAGCTGGTTATGCACCTCTGAGAGAAGCTATAACACCCTGTGAGAAATATTAAGCCCCTCTGCATCCATGTACGGAACTCAGAGATTTATGTGGAGCCACTGCCACAGAGAGATGCAAGAGAAGACTGAACAGTCCTTTCCTGTGGCATTTCTAATGTAGCTCTAATACTGGCTGTCATTACTGTGTTAATTCAAACACATGCTATCCTAACTGATTTGGGAGTGCCACGGAAACTCAAGAATCTCGTACGTCGTGTGTTCCAAAACAGCTCATGTCAACTGCTGAGGAAGATAATCCCATGCAAAGCAAATGTGGTTGAAAACTGTAGAAAGAGAGAAGGGACGGTTTAACCCACGAGAAGGACTAGACCCAGCAGGCTAGGAGGAAGAAGAATCACAAATGCATTGTTACCCACCATGGTGACTCATGACCTGCCCAGCAGCCTCCATGCCGACATTCTGCAGATAGTTGTGGCAACGTTCCTTGTGCTCCTCCAGTGAGCTGCGCTGCTTGTAGCTTCGTCCACAGTAGTTACACTTGTGAGGCTTCCCCACTGTGGAGAGAGACAGGGTTAGTGTGTGCCTCGCCTCAGCAAATGAACAGCTCGACTTCTGATATTTGGAAGAATCGTTTATATGCTCTTCAGACTTAGTCTTCCTCCTCCACACTCCAATTTAGGCAAAAACAATAAAGTGTCTACTAAAACGAAAGGCAGCAAGAAGATAGGAAGATCGCACCTCCAGGAGTAGGGGAAATACTGAATCAACTCGTGCTCTGACTGTATTGTCTGCATTCCCATCCTCGGGGCTGACGATCAGTCTGTACATAATGTGACTCTTAACCCATTAACCTTTACAGTTAGGCCAGGGTTCTCTTATTAAAAAGACTTGTCAGGGCTATCCTGCATACACAGTAAGGTGTGTGTGTGTGTGTGTGTGTGTGTGCGCGCACACACAACAGACACACACACATATGAGTTTTAGTAAGAGCTGAGAATTTTTCTGAAGAAAAACTAAAAATGCAACAGCATTTGAAATGTCACTGTTTAAATAAAAAGAGATTATTCATGAGTACCAAGAAAATTAAAAAGAATTCAAGCATTTAAAAATTATAGATATATAACTAGAGAGGTGGTTTCTCTATCTGTCTGTCTGCCTGCCTGTCTGTCTATCTCCCCGCACTCGGTAGTAAATGTCCACATACCAGAGCTTTGCAACAAGTGGGTACACTCTCTGTGCAGATCCTGCCTTTGTGCTGCCAAGAATTACCTTCCAAAGTGCTGTGAGCGGGGGACCACTAGAGCCCTAACATATTTAGTTACCATGGAAATGGTGCCTTCTACATCATTTCATATCATGGAAGGGAATTTCTCCTAATAGCTATGGAGCCATTATCTCAATACAGTTACTAAAACATGTACTGTGATGTTTATGGTGAACAACTTTGAAAAACTCATAGAAAAAAAAACTGTACGGACTGAGGGATATTTTGAGACAGGGTTATCCTTAAAGTTGTCATGAGCACTTCGCTTCTTGGTTTGACATGGAACCAGAACAACAGACACCAGTAAGTGGTCAGCGCCAGAGCCCCTGAAGGACAGTGGGAATCAGGGCAGCTAATCTCATTTGACTCCCTGAGGAATCGTTTAGTTTCGCCTAGAGAACAAAGAATAGCCTCAGTTTTCATAGTAATATCCTCACTGCCAGCAACCTTACAAACCCAGGTGTTGACACGCTAGAAACCGTAGAACTGTAGCAAGCAGAAGCCCTCAAAGTTGCTTAACCTTTGCACTGATGATCAGAAAAATAAATGCACAACAACAGCAAAATCAACCTAAACTGTGGATCCTATCTGATGCACACACACATTCAAATCGATTGTTTCATAATGCAAATTTAATAACGCACCTTAGATAAAAGTGATCTAAGGCAAGATTAGCCATTTAAAAATACTGGGGGGAAATTCATTTTTTGAAAACCAGGTATTCATTGTTTTACTTCTGGAAAGTAGCTGTTAATACATGTGTAGAAAACAGTCTTCCTGGGAGCATTAAAATGTAAGCAAAACCAGATTAAATTATATGTAGTTTATGTAGCTGCATGAATTTACACTGTAAGATGTGACCCTACCAACAGTGTTTTCATTTTCTATTACCATAGAAACAAAGATGACCATATGCTGGATAAGTCTACTAACCACTACTATTCACCAGACACTTACAAGTATAGTCCACTGTGAGTCAGTTCAGTCACCACCCCCCCCACCATCCCCTGTGTTAGTTTGCTGCACCTGACACTATGAGTTCTGTTCTCTGATTATTTTCGCAAGTTCTCTCCATGTTACTTTCAGCATCTACGTATCATGTCGACTTAACTGAAGTATGACGATATGTTACTGTTCTGGGCTTCTAACCTCTGTAACCCCCCCCCCCCAGTTTATTCGCTATAGTAACAAACACACACGCACACACAGACAGACAACAGACAGACAGACAGACAGACTTTTGTCTGAGTATCTCTTCCCGTTGCTGTGATGCAATGCCCTGATAAAGCAACTCAGGAGAAGAACTTATTTCAGTTCACGACCCATCCTGGCTGGGAACTTAAAGCAGCGGGAAGTCACATACCCACAATCAGAAAGGAGAGAGCAAGGAATGGGAGTGTTTGCCATTCTTTCTTCTTTTTATGCAGTCAAGGATGCAAGCCCTGGAGGCGGTGCCACTGAATTTTAGGTTGGGTTTCCCCCTTCAATGAACCTAATTAATATAACCTCTAAGCTATGCTCAGAGGTTGACCTAGCCGACACGATCCCTCAATATGTTTGCTCTTGTTCATTCTCTTCAATGTCAAGTTGTCAGTCAACATTAACTGTCACAACATTTTACTGATGCCGACTCACTTCCCAGCTTCCCTCTTTTTGGAGCCCATCTCGCACTTTAATTCTTCTCCCACTTTGTCATTTATTTATTTTCCAAAGTACCTACTTCTCCCTCTGCCTCCCGTCAGGGTCTCGGTGAGAGCAATGAGGTGGTCAGTAGTTAACTTTTAAAGCTGACTTTTACTAGTCTAAACTCGATTTCATCACCTCTTCATTTCCGCTTTATATAAATAAAACAAATATCTGGTGATATTTTGGATTCTGAAGTGTCTTACTAAAATACTATTCTATCTCAAAGGAAGCTGCTCTGGAAATGGTCTACCCTCTCTTTTACTGCTCTCATTTATTGAACAGATTTATCAAAAAGAACAGAAGGTAACAATACCTGTAAGGCGCAGAACAAATTCTTAAACGGTTGCCATGTGTATATAACAGCCTGGTGAGGACTGAGACTCTATTTACTAGCAACGTATACTGTAGACTGTGATCGGGTCTGCAGTGTAAAACAATGGGGACTAGTACAATATGTGGAATCTTTAGCATAAGGTAATGGGAGGGGAAGGTGTGTCTGAGGTAGGAACATCTCTTACAGGAGGTGTGAGAGCCTCCACGTGAGTGATGGCAACCAAACTTGGCTCTTCTGGAAGAGCAGCAAGTCCCTTAACCACTGAGTTATCTCTCCAGCAAGTTTATGTTATTTTTAATTCAATGATTATTTTTATTTTTACCAGTTATACACACTCATGTGTAAAAAAAAACTTAAAAAATTAAACATGTGCCATTGAAATACATTAAACCTTTCCTGTGTGGCCAACAAAATCTAGCCATAATCCCCAAAGCAATGTCTTCCAATGTCTAGTGATTTTATCCCATTAAATAATGTACCTGTTTTCTTTGTTCAAAATTGATAGAGGTGATAGGTTGTCTTTTGGTAAGAATTCAGCCCCACAAACATCTTCTCAAGCCTCCTTTGATTTCAAGTTACAAGACAATTTCAAATTAATAGTATAAAAATGGAAATATCCATTATTAACGGAGATATTAATCATAGCATATTATTATATAGCTGAATCCAATTCCATTTCAGTTCTTGTACAGTTTTTTAAGTTTTCTTATTTAAAAACTGCATTGTTTCAAACTCTTCTTTGTGGTATTGTACTCAGTGATCCTTCTTCCCGCACAGAGGTCTCAGACCTAATAATAATTGCTCTAAACATTCCTATCCCAACCCACTCTCAGGTCTTTGCCATGCCTCCCCCTTATTTCTTGCCTCCTTACAGCCAGGCGTACTTCAAACTCGTCAGAGCCTATGGAGCTTTTTGACTTATTGTATGCATGTAGTCTCGGCACTGCCCATTCTTTCTCTAAGACTGGCCTCCCCGACCGCCTAAATCTAATGTGTTTCTCTCCCTTTATTCATTATAGGATTCCTAGGTTGGAGATAAAATAATTTTTCCTTTACATTTTGAAGGCTTTGTTCAACTGAACTAGTAATCTTTAGTTTCTTTTCAAATGCCCGATACAAATGTGGTTTTATATGTAGCATGTTCATTGCAAAGCTCTTAGCACCTATTTGTATTTGATGTTGGCCCGTTTCTGAAATAAGAATTGCATCCCTTTAATCTGGAGCTTAATGCATGCCCTTTAGCTTTTAATAAATGTATGTGCATCATATATAATATTTATAAAACTTCAACATATATGTACATAGATAGCACATAAACTTGTAGCTATATACACGTTATTGTTAAAGATGCAAACAGTATGTGACTTTTAACCTTTACATATGCATGTTAATAGCTCTTCTTTTGAAAATAGGGATAGCTATTGTTCCATGTCACTTCTATAAAATAATATCCATTCTGCCCATGAAAATCAACTGGCTACATACTGTAGTACATTTCTAGGCTCTATTCAATTCCATTATCTCTGTCCATAAATCATCAAATTAATATTTACCAATAGAGTCAGTCTTTAAATAAGTCACACAGCCTTCCTTTTCAAAATTCTTTGAAAAAACTGGGGTCCTTTTGTATTTCCAAAAAATTCTGCATAAGTTTGCCAATGTTAATAACAACAAAGCTCAAAAAAAAAAAAAAACCTGCCGGGCGATGGTGGCGCAGGCCTTTAATCCCAGCACTTGGGAGGCAGAGGCAGGCAGATCTCTGTGAGTTCGAGACCAGCCTGGTCTACAGAGCTAGTTCCAGGACACGCTCCAAAGCCACAGAGAAACCCTGTCTCGAAAAACAAAACAAAACAAACAAAAAAAAAAAAGGAAAAACCCTGCCTGGATGCTCACTGAGACTTCATGGAATGGACAGGCTTAACTTTAGGAGAACTAATATCCTTTAAATATTCTTACTGTATTTTTATGTTCGGGTGTCTTGTCTGCAGGTCCATCTATGCACCACTTCTGGAACCCAGAGAGACTGGAAGAGGTGCTATATATGGTTGTGAATCACCAGGTGGGAGCTGGAGATAGAACCCAGATCCCCTAGAAGAGCGATGGGTGCTCTTAACTGCTGAGATGTTGCTCCTGTTCCCACCGATTAATATCGGAGCAGTATATGTTTTCAAACATTATCATACTCTATCTCCTTATTTACTTGGTGTGTGTGTGTGTATGTGTGTGTGTGTGTGTGTGTGTGTGTGAGAGAGAGAGAGAGAGAGAGAGAG